GTGTGTGTGTGTGTGTGTGTGTGTGTGTATGTATATGTATATATATATATATACGTGTGTGTGTGTACGTGTGTGTGTTTAGATATATATATTCTATCTATCTATCCTATAAAAGTACGATCGAATCTCTACCTTCTTTTACTAAGTATCCATCATGCACACAGGAGCACACCGATCCTGGGCAGTCACCCCCACCCTCCACACCGGACCACACCACCTGTACGATACCATCCGACAATCCGACCGAAACCCGACCATCCGACCGCCACTCAGGCTCACACCTGTCCTCGGACGAGTATGGTGTCACCTTGTCTGGCCATGACGTCTCTATCTCACGGATAAAGTGGACTGTGCGGGGGGGCACAAAAGAGTCGCTGCTGAAGTACCTCACGCGCCACGACCACAACGGTGTGTGTTGGGGATGGTGTCAATTCGGTGTCAAACATATAGCCACTGCGTGTCAAAAAGAAATATTAGGCCGAATTGGATCTGTGTCGATTAAGTGTCAAAAATGTGTCACGTATGGGACGATATAGTGTCGGATGAGCTCATTCTGTTCTCCTTCTGGGTGGGTATGTATACACCCAACGCACGTGGTTTCGGCTGTAAGTCTGTCAGTCTCTTCTGTGGACAATGGGTGTAGGTATGAGTGAAATCGGTATATGTAGCCACTGCTAGAACAACTTGTACGTATGCACCCTAAACCCTAAACCTTTATAAAAAATGTTCGTGACACATACTGTTGTATGTGTATTTGTATGTACAGTGTATCCACCTCTCCTTGCGGGTAGGTAGGTATATCTTCATTTCGATTGATCTTGGTTCTCTGTATGTTTATAATTCCTCCTGTTGTACTCCCCTTGCATTGGTATATGTCGGGTGAACGTTCATACCCTGTATAGCTAATTGAACAGGATTGGACAGGTGACAGTACTCGACCACTATTTCACTAACACCCGACTTGTGCAGGACCATCCATCACTACACACCGACGCACTACCGTTATTCACAGCCAAGAGCATCATATAGTGCCCCGATACTACTTGTACCTTGGAGTAGGTAGTATATACTCGCACGTTGTTGACACGTGTTTGCCGAGGATTACACATACCTCATAAATCAGTTGTATATAGTTTACGTAAACGGGTATATACGGCTCATAAATGACTTGTATATAGTTTACGTAAACAGGTATATACGGCTCATAAATGACATAATAGATTTCTCAAGTATTGCAAACGGCTCTTAAATGACTTATAAATAGATTGCCCATAAGCGTTGTGAACTTATATATCGATTACTCAGCGTTTTATAAACCAATAAATAAATTACCCAGACGAGTTACAACCCGCTTCAAAAAAACTGAGTTATAAATAAATTACTCACGAAGCTAATGTGAACCGCTCTACTCCACAGATAAGGAGTACCTGCGCCTGTTCCTATTGGTTTATCAATCGTTTGCCACTCCGGACGAAGTACTCAATTTCCTGTGGGATCGGTAAGCGTTAAATGCTTTGTTCACATTACTATGTGGTGATAGTAGTACACTGTAGTACGTGTTCCTATTGGTTTATCAATCGTTTGCCACTCCGGACGAAGTACTCAATTTCCTGTGGGATCGGTAAGCGTTAAATGCTTTGTTCACATTACTATGTGGTGATAGTAGTACACTGTAGTACGTTTGTATCCAGATACGCTCGTTTTTTTATATTTGACTGTAAGTGCAATAGCATTGCATTTCGTCGTACCAGAACGACTATGCTATTATTGATCGCGCATATAGATATATATATACGTGTGTGTGTGTGTGTGTGTGTGTTTGGACTTGTATTAATATGTATATAAGTATATATGTATAATCAACATATATATGCAGATACGTCCAAGAAAAATATAACAACTGACGTATTCCACTCCTAGCAAAATTATTTATGCTTTAACACCTCTACCTGTACATAGTGCACGTACACAACTGTATGTAGATGTATTGTATATATACATATAACCTCCTACTGTACGTAATATGTACACAGTTATGCACAAACAAAGTGTGTTGTGTATATGCTTATGCACGCACCCTTCACCGACACACACACACACATATA